CATTGCTCCCGCTGACCCAGGTGTTTACAGTTTGGTTGTGAGCCAGCTTCACTGAGTCTAGCCATCTGCCTCAACCCATTGACCAATTCCTGGTCCCAAGTCACCAAAACCCGGCCAACCCCAACTGTGCCACCTGACAGGATGATGGTGCTTGGACAGTCCACCTTTTATTACCTGCCCTTTCGCACTCCTGACTTCCTCAACTGGAAAAATAGTACCCCCACGCCTAATGCAGAGAAGCCCCAGGTCATGGTGGAATTAGTTGATTCATTGATTCAGACTCATGTCCCCACCTGTAATGACTGTTGCCAGCTTCTCACCACTTTCTTTACTATAGAAGAAAGGTGTATCACCCTAGAAGCTCAAAAGGACCTACAAACACTTGGCCCCCCAGAGCCCCCTCGATCACACACATTGGGTAGCCCAAGTGTTCTCAGATGCCCAGCCCAACTGGGACTCCCATACTCTGGAGGGGACCTTGGTACAGCATTGAGTGGCTTTTGTAGGGGGTGTAAAACTGAACATGTCTAAGCCACCACAGTGCTCCAGAAGCCTGATGAAAACCTGAGAGATTATGATGAACAACTCTCTCTGTGAGGCATATTGCATTTATACCCCAATAGACTTGAAATCCCCAGGCGCTCATCTCCACATCTGGTCCTTAATGTTACTCTCTCAAGGGACCTTGTTGTCCTCAAGTTTGATGCCTGCCTAGGACTCACCTGTGGAGATTTGAGTGCCCAGAGGCAGCCAGCCACCTCTGCTATGTCTGTCACACACTCTCAATGGGGGATTGGTGCTGGTCCTGGAGAACAGCAGCTGAGATGTGGCAAAGGGACCCTCTGGGCACTTAATTCAGAGAGCTGAATTGGTTGGCCAAAGGAGCTTGAGCTGAATGCGTTCTGGGTGGGACTTACAGAAGACTTGTATGCCCCTTTGGGAATTTATTAGCAGACCTGAAACATTCTAATAAGGTCATAATCCTGACCATTTCTTACTGGCATTACAATTTGCTAACTTCCTTAATAAGCCCGTTAATCATGAGTTTTGTAAGTTCTGCATAGCCTTTACAATGGATATTAGGTAACAAGAGATCAAGTAGAGAGATAAATTATAGAACCTTAATTAATTAAGTCAGCACAGTCATCCAGCCTCAATGGCTTCAGAAAGACTGGAATCCACAAGAAATTGAAATTTTGCTTCTTATTTTCTCTTTCATCAGGATTCTTCTACAGCATGTTTGGTTAAATTTTTTCAATTAATAATAACCAGGGACCATCTAGTTCTGTCTCATGGAAAACGAGTTGGTTGCTCATGGATGTAATTAAATACACATTCCAGTTCTTCCCATCTTTCTTACCATTCCTTCTTCCTTTGCTGCTCCCTTCGAATAGAGAACAACTGTGCTTTGGATGGGTGTTTGCAAGCTTCTAAGACTCTAGTAAAGTCCTATGATGCACAAAAGTTTTTAATTCTGACAAGTTCCAATTTTCTATTTTAGCTTTTAAAACCAATGTTTTAGCATCATATATAAAAATGCACTGTCAAAAACAAGATAGTGAAACACTACCCCTATATTTTCTTCAAAGAGCTGGTTTTAGTTCTTTGTTCAATTTAAAGTTACTTTCCACGTATGATGTGAAGAATGGGTCCAACTTAATTTTTTGGGAAGCACAAATCCAGTTATCCAAGCACCATTTATAAAAAGACTATTTTTGTATCAAAGAATTGAGTTAGCACTGTTAGTTCATCATAGATATGAGTTTATTTCTTGGTTCTTCATTCTACTTTATTGGTCTATATGTCTATCATATCAGTAGTAGACTTTTGATGACCCTAGCGATGGCCTACATTTTGAAATTGGGAAAATTTTGAGTTTTTCCTCTTTATTCTATTTTTTCAATACTGTTTTGGCTATATGGGTCTTTTTTCAGTTCCATAAAATTTGTGCATTGGCTATTCCATCCTCCAAAGCAGACTGATAAAATTCTTGAGGCTGTTTTGAATCTACATTTTGATTTATACAGTACTAAATAATATGATCAAAATATTATTCAATTCTACCTACTTCACAGTAAAAATTCATTTATTAAAAAACAAACCAAACCCAACTATTCAAAACAAAACAAATTAGAGTGGAAGACAGTATTAAACCTTATAATTCATGAACACATAATATCCCATTTATTTAGGTCTTCTTTAATTTCTTTTAATAATATATATATTTTCAGTGTACATATCTTTCACTTAACTGGCTGATTTTATTCCTAGATATTTGATTTTTTAGATGCTAAATTGTAAATAGAATTATTTCATTTTCATAATGTTCACTGCTAATGTATATAAGCTGATTACTGATTTTTGCTTGTTAATCTTGTATCTTGTCATTTTCTTAATTCATTTGTTGGCTCTAGTGTCTTTCTTAAAGATTTTCTACATAAAGGTAATTCCACTACATCATTCATAGGTCACGCCAGAAGGAATTGATGTGGAAACCCCACTAAGTGAACTTACTGGGCTTTACCTCAAACTCACCTATGTAGGCTACTTTGAACTTAAGGCTAATACTCACAAGTGTGAGAAGAAGCAGATGACTACAAACTCAAGGGCACAGACCTGACATTGGACTTTGGTTCAAATTTCTTGCCTTGAGGTGCTCAATGAATGATGGCCCTGAACTAACATAAATTTGCTATTTTAATGTCCTCTTTGCTTTATTATGACATATATTAATCTGGTATGCAAGGCCCTGCTGCTGTGAATGAATATTAGAAGATTTGCCCTATCACCAACTCTGTTGTTTGTGTAAATAGTGTCCAGTCATTTTTAAAAATTTTATTTATTTATTTTAAGCTTTAAAATAATAATTTTATTAGCTCATACAACTCTTATCACATTCCATACACACATCAATTGTGTAAAGCACATTTGTACATTCATTGCCCTCATCATTCTCAAAACATTTCCTCTCCACTTAAGCCCCCGTCATTAGGTCCTCATTTTTCCCCTCCCTCCCTGCTCCCCCCTTCCTCATGAGCCCTTGATAATTTATAAATTGTTATTTTGTCATATCTTGCCCTGTCCGACGTCTCCCTTCACCCACTTTTCGGTTGTCTGTCCCCCAGGGAGGAGGTCACATATAGTTCCTTGTAATCGGTTCCCTCTTTCCAATTCACTCTCCCTCTACTCTCCCAGTATCGCCACTCACTCCACTGGTCCTGTAGGGATCATCTGCCCTGGATTCCCTGGATTTCCAGTTCCTATCTGTACCAGTGTACATCCTCTGGTCTAGCTAGACTTGTAAAGTAGAATTTGTGTCATGATAGTGGGGGCGGGGAGGAAACATTTAGGAACTAGAGGAAAGTTGTATTTTTCATTGTTGCTACATCGCACCCTGACTGGCTCGTCTCCTCCCTGAGACCCCTCTGCAAGGGGATCTCCAGTGGCCTACTAATGGGCTTTGGGTCTCCACTCCGCACTCCCCCCATCATTCACTATAGTAAGATTTTTCGTTCTGATGATCCCTTATACCTGATCCCTTCGACACTACGTGATTGCATAGGCTAGTGTGCTTCTTCCATGTGGGCTTTGTTGCTTCTGAGCTTGATGACCACTTGATTACCTTCAAGCCTTTAAGACCCCAGACGCTATACTTTTTGATAGCCAGGCACCATCAGCTTTCTTCGCCACATTTGCTTATGCACCCATTTGTCTTCAGTGATCCGTTCAACACCTCATGATCACACAGGCTGATATGTTCTTCCATGTGGGCTTTGTTGCTTCTGAGCTACATGGCCGCTTGTTTACTGTGTCCAGTCATTTAAGAGTTTAAACTGTCACCCCCACCCCAGGGGTGAACAACAGAAATGTGGGTGATGGGAGACAGTGGAATTTATAATTCATCAAGGGGTCACGAGGGTTGGAAGGTGAGTGAGGGTAGGGAAAAAAGAGGAGCGGATAACAAGGGCTCAAGTAGAAAGAAAATGTTTTGAAAATCATGATGACAACATATGCACAAGTGTGCTTGATATAACTTTTGTATGGATTGTTATAAGAGCTGTAAGAGCCCCCAATAAAATGATTTATTAAAAAAAAGTTTAATCTGTGCAAGTCAACAATTCATGTCTTATGGTTCATAGCTGGTTCATACTCATATTATTTCCTTTTCTCTACAGTGTTTTAAATTCTACACCATTTAAATTCTATACCATTGGCCAATATTACTATCAATACATCGTGGTTACCCATTGGGCAGCTACCTACCAGCTCCATGGGTGGAAGGATAAGGCTTTCTACTCCTGTGAAGATTTGCAGTCTTGGAGACTGACCAGGAAAGCTCTACCGTGTCCTATTATGTTGACATGAATCAGCACCAATTTGATGGCAGTAGCAGGGGTGCCCCAAGGGGAACATTGATAATATTCTCTAACATAAAATGAAAATGATTTTTCTAAGGTAAATGAGAGACAAACATAAACCAAAGATATAAAATAGATTTTGGTCTTGCACTTAATTCTAGCCCCAATCAAGAACAATTGGTTTTTATGACATAGCCCTGTTTGATGTTCACCTTCATGAAGAGATCATTGAAGTGTGGTGAAGAAACTAGATGGTGTGCAGCTATCAGAAGGCACCGCATCAAGGGTCTTACAGACTTGTCTTCAAACAAGCCGCCATCTAAGTGAGGTGTCAAGTAAGTCCACTTGGAAGCACCTCAGCCTGTGTAATCCAAGGATTTTAAATAATATACCACTTTCATAGGAGGGAATGATATCAGAGCTTAAACTGAATATCCAATTTGCAGAGGCTGTAGATGACAGTGGAAGCTCAAAATCCATTTGCAGGGTCCACACACAGATTAAGTCTCTGGAGAATCTCCTCTGATCATAGCTGAGGGCTATGAACAGCCTTGTTATTACACAGAAAGCACTGTAAATCTGATTAGGGCAGGTGTATTTAGGTTAAAACGTAATATCATTTGGCACCCCTCCCTCCTTTTAAGAAATATGAAACACTTGAAAAATTTGTGTGTCATCCTCATGCAGGGGCTATGATAATCTTCTCTCTATAGTTTCAATTTCAGTTTTTGTGCTGCCAAAGTGAGCACTGGTCTTTCTTTTTACCCATTTTAAAATTGTTCAGTTAAGAAAAAGTGGGAAATATATGTGCATTAAGCCTCTGCTGAATTCCTTCTGACAATGGACCAGGAATGTAAATAGTCTAGAATGCATTGGAAAGAGAATTATTGCAGCTGCAATTAGGTTAAAATTTAACACCTTATCATTTCATCTTTCTTATGATCCATTTTAGGTTATTTTCTGGTTTCTTTTTCATTGAGGTTTTTGTTAGTTTTACTTTGTTATTGTTGTTAGTGTTTTTTCCCTTTTAAATATTCTTCTGTATATGAAATACTGAATAGGTATATCTATAGAGACAGTAGCTAGGGGTATGGCATGTAAGGTTGGGGACAAAAGGGGAGCTAATAATGAGGAGAACAAGAAGGAAGAATTTATTCTAAAACTGATTGTGGTGATGATTGTACAACTCTTCTTGGTGTGATTGCACTAATGAATTGTATGTTATGTGAAGTATATGCCAATAAAGCTGTCGCAAAAAACCACCCCCAAACAAAAAACTCCTCCACCACCAACAGAAAAACGAATCTGCGAAATGCAGATGACATAATCTAGCTTGCTGAAAGTGAGGAGGGCTTACTGATGAAAATCTAGGTTTGCAACCTTCAGTATGGATTACAACTCAATGTAAAAAACCAAAAAATCCTCAAATGGTAACATTATGATAAATGGAGAAAAGATGGAAGTACCAAAAGAAAAAAAAAAAAAGGGCGATCATGCCATCTGTGGAAAGGGATAGCTTTATTTCCTCTTTCCTAAATTTAATGCCTTTAACTTTTTCTTGCATAATTACTACACAGATTCTTTTTGAACTAACTGCCTTTTATATGCCTATTACCCAAACTAAACAGAATTCTGTTCATAGTGACCCTTTATAAGGTTTTCAAGACTATGAACCTTGAGGGGGCAGACCACCTCCTCATTCTTGAGTGGAATAAATTGTAGGTTTAACAACCAACCTTGAAATCAGCAGCCTGCTGTCTAACCCATGGCAGAGACTGTTAAATGCTCATGAAATGACATACCAGGGTTGGAACACCTCTATATTTTTTAAGAGGCTTTTCTGTATCCTGGCCAAATCTTGGTGGCTTTTATGTCTATATCAATTAGATTACATCAAGAATTTGCTTTGAACTAAGGATTATTGCAATAGAAACAACACATATTCAACTTTAGATGGCAAAATGAACAATTACGTAATATAAATTTATGATTCTAAAATAGGAAAATATCTAACTTCTTAATGTGTAGTAAATTTTTCACAAAAGTAATTTTTTGTTTACCTTTCTCTTTTTTAGAAACATTTTAGAATTTCTCATCATTATTATGGATTTTCTGATTCAGTTCAAGACATAATTTTTATATTATTTCTCAGGAAATTAAATTTAATAAATTACTTTCTTAAATTTTGGCAATTTTTAAATAAAAACTGTGAGATGTTTTCCCTTTCACCAAAGTAAGTAAAGGCCTATAAACAAATGTAATAAATGCATATTACATGCAGAAAATATTCATGTCATTATTTTTCTATCTTTGGTACAAGAAGAATGCTTATCACTATCATAAAGAAAGCCAAATATATAGAATTAAGGATAGAATGACATTGTAGGAAAGTGTCAGCTACATAAATCAGTTATAATGAGTAGGTATTTGTTGAAGGAAAATCTGGCACCCTTTAATGAGGAGAGAGGTAAAACTCACTTAATCAACATAAAAAAAGTTAATTGTTTTGTATCTAGCCAGAAAATTCCTAAAAAGAACAAGGAAAAGTCTGACAACTTTTCTGTCAAAAAGAAAAAAAAGGCCAAGGGTACACTGTTTGACTACATACATGAGAAAGCTATATCTTGTCAAAGTTAAAACATTTAACATTTAACCTCGTGATGTCTCAACAGAATGCATTTCTGTTCAAATTTAACAATACACAAGTTATTATAATGAGAGATGGTATGGAAAACTTCTGTTTAAAATCCCCACGTTTTAGGGGAAATTAATTTATTCATACATCCAGCATTGATTATGTGAAGAGTCAGGTACTATGTTAGGGAGTGAGCACAGATAATAATTAAGATATGGCCCTTTCTATTATAGTACACAGACCCAGATAATTTAGCAACTAAAGAACAGACACGATAAATCTAAGATTTAGCATAGGGTCCTAGGTGTATCTGACCCTGTATCAATGAGGAATCAGGAAATACTTCTTAGATGATATTATCTGAGAATTGACTTGAAGAGATACTGAGTTAAACAATCCTTTCATCTCCCTATACCAATAGCTTGCTGGTATCAGGTGGGAGCATACAGCCAGCAGAATTCAATTCATCATTTAACTCTAGTGGTAGGTATGGTATGGACACTTTCCCCTCTTAGTCGTAGCTAATACAATAACATTTTCTACTTTGACTGAACAGTTTTGATGTCAAAGCAATACAAAGGGCCCACTTTCTCACGGAGTGCATAATTGGTACAAATCGACATACATTTATCTATATAAGGAATACTGGGGAAGTCTCTGTACTTACTTTTACTTCTTTCTAGTCAACATAAAGTTGTGATCTATTATATCAGTGGGAAAGGAAATGATTTATGTGAAGAGGAGTTCAAGAGAATGTTAAATTCCAAGAAAGTCCAAAATGGATGAATGTGAGGCAGATGTAACAACCAAAGAAAAGTTCAAAGTGGCTGGACTGTTAGAGTAATTCATGTACAAGCAAGTCTGCATGCTGGCCTATGCTACTATGATTCAATTCTCCATATGACAGTAATGGCTTACATGAGGAGAAAGGAAGCATTAGTAATCTTAGAAGGAATGGACTGCCTTAATCATAGAACTTTTCCTACCATACTTTTTGTTTGAGCTTAATGGTCAGAGTCTAGTGTGGGAGGCAACTATTCTAACCATGTTTGATCTAGTATCAATAGGTAAAACCAATTGTAGGATGAACAGAAATGATGTAAGGAGTGGTTATTCCTTCAAGAGTATCACAAAAGACATCACAAAGGATGTGGACCTTGAGGAGAGAAACTTTTGAGGAAGGGCACTTTATTTCAAGAAAAGTTTAATCATTTTTAAAGCATAATAAACAATGTGATTGTAACTTGTAACTCTTTTGCATGCATCTACTTCTCAGGCAGAGAACACAGACAGAAATATTTACATCTTTGTTGAGTTTACTCACTGTTATCTTACGAGGACAGTCGTTAGAACAGAGACCACTGAGAACTGCAGAAAAATAAAGAACAGTCGATTATTACTCTTATATTGTGCCTATATTTAAAGTGAGCGCTCATTTTCTCCTTAAAGTGCTCCACTGATCCACTAATATGCTCTTCTGAGTCATACTCACAGGCAAATACTGATACAATTTTGTCAGATGAGAAATTAAATTTGTTGCTTACTTTATACTTATATTTCAAAAGCCTTTATTAAGTTATCCAGATGCTACAGTTTTATAAAATGTGAGGGAGATAATTAATTATGCTCATACATACAACATTTAACTTTTTTAAAAAACAGGTTAACTAAATTTCAAAGAGAATTTAGAATCTGCCAAAAAGGTGTCAAATTCAAACCAATTAAAATGTATTCTTAAAAAGTGGCCATCTAGCAGGAAAGCAACAAAGCCTACCTGGAAGAAGCACACAGCCTGTGTGATCATGAAGTGTCTATGGGAAGAGGTTATCAGAAATACAAAAAACACACAACCAAATCGATATGAAGGGGAGTGAATGTATTGGAGACCCAAAGTCCACCAGCAAGACAATTGGACAGTCCCTCCTAGAAGGGCCTCATGGAACGAAGGATAAATCCAGGGTGCAGTAAGACACTGATGAACCATGTAACTATCCTCTAGTTGCTTAAGATTGCTTCCCCTTTACTATTAAGGTCATTATGTGTTATACCTCTTTAATCATGTTACATTTGTGGTTTCTTATTTGTGTATTTAAGGTCAGTGGTACATGGTAGTCAAGATAGAGGACCCCTTAGAGACAGTGACAGGAGTAATGGTTCCCTGAGGGTACAGGAAGTTAGAGGCAGGGGAGAAGGGGTGAAAGGGGAGTTGATAGCATAGATGATTGTATAACGCCACTTGATGGAATTGAACAACAGAACTGTATGTGAATGAATATATTAGAATGAGTAAGAGATGTCAATAAGAAATATTATTTAGAGACAGATTTTAGAGAGAGTTGGTGGTGGTCTATTTTCCTGCACAGGCAGACCTCATGCTCTGAGTGAAAAGAGTTTTTATTTTAGAAATACAGTCCAATTGAAAAAAAGGGCAGAGGGAAAAAAAAAGAAAGAAAGAAAGGGCAGAGAGTCACGCATAAAACATCTGCTTAGGTATACTCGGGGACTGGCTTGAGAGTAAGGCTGGAGCTGTCCATGGTACCTAAGTATAGCCTGAGACCTCTGCTGGGTAAACACTTCCTGGCAGGGTGATCCAGAAGTGGATGGGCCAGATAATCTTGTGTTGAGCCTGGGTTTGGGTTATTGGGCAGGGTGGCAGGGTACTATGGCCTAGCAGGCTGTTCGACCCAGCAAGCTCTTCTTTAAAGGGGCATTGACCCACTGATTATTTTCTAAAATTGTTTTTGACTGTTACAGGAGGGTCTTTCCATGACCAGCCAGCCTATTATTTAAAGAATATATTAAATCTTGTACCCAACATTCTTAAAAAAAAAGAAATATTATTTAAAAATGCACTTTAAGAATAACAAATAGAACATTTAGCACTTTATATCTCAAAGTAGATCCCCCCCCATTTGTCCATTAAAGTTTCTGACAGTGATTTTGTGCCCCTTAGATAACTATTCTGGAGAACATAACTATAAAATAATTGATGAATATATTTGAGAATCTATAACAAATATAAAAATAATTTAATAACACATTTATTCTATAATCACTGACTAAAAAGAAAAGGTGAGAATTGGGTATTTTTGTTGTTGTCTTTAGTTGTTCTCTTCATTAACATTTTATTGTGAATTGGTAAAGGTTTATAGAGTAGATCATCAGTTTTATATTCCAACAACTTACCAAACTTCCAAGTAACGGAATTTTGAAACATAAGCATTGAAAAGTCAACCTGCTATTGTTTTATGATGGAAATATAACAGCTTAGAAGAATAGTGAGAAGAATTATACAGCTTGTCAAGATATAGCTTAGCGAGAAGGCCTCCATAGCTATGGCCCTGAATTTAATCCCTCTAGCCTGAGAATTCATGCCTGTACACCATCATAGGATTCTAAGAGACAGGCTCTCACACTCTGCCATTGAGGTGATGCCAAAGCATAGTGACCCCATAAGACAGGGTAAAATTGCCTCTGAGTTTCCGAGACTTTAACTCTTTACTGGAGTGGAAAGCCCTGTCCTTCTTTTGCAGTGGCAGGTGGTTCTGCTCTCACTTTAAAACAATTGAACCCATCCCTACTTGCCACAGATGGTTCATCACAAACATTTTGTTTTGCTACATGTGCAGCTTTAAATCACAGCAAGTAAAAGTCCTGAACATTTTGCTCCATCTATAGCATTACAGTCAAATTTACTTAGAGGAGACAGCTCTTTTCTGGTTGTATTCGAAGTGCCTTTCAAGTTGAGGAACTCATCTTCCGGCTCTATATCAGACAGTATTTCACTACTATTCATAAGGTTTTCAGTGACTAATTTTTCAGAAGTGGTTTGCTTCTTCCTTCTCCCTACTCTGTTTTAGACTGGCAGGTTCACTGAAGCCAGCTACCATGGGTACCAACTCTGCTGGTAATTGAAAGATGTAGTATGGTTTCTAGCATCAGAACACACAGCCACTAGTTTGAGTGGTAGGCATGCATATATTTGTTATGCTTTATAAAAGGGATGCCTACACAATACAAGCAGAACATGCATTTCCTTGTTTTTTTGCAATCACTGATTTAATAAGGAACAATATTGATCCTTAACCTTAATTACCATCTGGTGGACACTTTTTCTTAATTATAAATTCAAAACTCTCCAGCCAAAATAAAATAAATAAATACTCCCAAACATGCTAATATAAAGGTCAACCTTGTCTCAGCTGGAAATTATTTCATCTACTGAACAATCTAACCTTTTCCCAGTGACATCCACGTGGCTATTACAGTAGGCAAGAAGGAGACTTATACTGTTTGACTTCTGAGCTCTATTAACTGTATGTTTGAAATAAGGCAGAACAATGTTGTTATCCACTTTCAATAATTGCACTAGTTTTGTTAAAAAATGCTATAGAGAAAGCACACGTGAAAGAAAACAAACTCTGAAGAAAAAGAAAAAAGAAAAAGAAAAAAACAGACCCTGAACTATTCATACGGTTATATATGTATGCATATGTGTGTATTGTTGTTGTAGACATTGTTTTACTTTCTGCTGTTGCCTTGTTGCACTCAGTCTGGTGATGGTACATAGCATGTCTACCTGGAAGGGATAGGCAGAATAAACAAGCCAGAAGAGAGAACAACGGGATGACAGATCAGGGGAGCATGGGGGTAGGGGAGGGGGAAGGAAGAAAGAGGATTTTAATAAGCACAGGCACAAGGGAACAACAAGTGATCAAAAATCAATGTCAAGGAGGGTGCGGGAGGCCTTGCAGGGCTGGATCAAGGGCAATGTAACCGAGAGGAATGCCTAAAACCCAAATGAAGGCAGAACATGATAGTGGGACAAGAGGAAAGTACAAAGAAACAGAGGAAAGAACTAGGAGGCAAAGGGTACTCATA